CAGCAGCATTTTCAGCTTCTGAGACACCTGAGATACTAGAACAACTTGTTAAATCCTTTAAAAGTAAAAAACAAAAAAAAACATTAAAAAACCCTACTATTCATTTTTATAGATATTTGTTATCAATAAATCAATTTGACATGCAGATGCTAAGAGATGGGTGGAAGAATTAGAGGTTCCTATGTTGCCTAGACAATGGGAGAACGTCTTTACATCTATAGCAAGAGTGTCAGCGGACCTTAAATTACGACTTAGAATCCTTAGAAAAGGATTGTTTAAGGCAGCATTTTGTGGGAGATGTAATAAGGACAGTGCTTCTTTAAAACACGTTTTTACAATGTCCTATACTTATTAAGTTTTGGGAGAAAGCAGTGGACCATATAAATGTGACTGTGCGCCAAAAGCTAAAATTCTCAAAGGATAATATTCTCCTGAATTACATACCTAGTACATGGAACTTGACAACTGGAAAACGTAAAGGGATTCCCCGTGCCCTTACTATGGCTAAAAGACTGATATTGCAGCATCGGAAAGATAAATGTATGGCCCCAGTCACTCAATGGATTGAAGATCTGATTGCACTTGCCACTGATGAGCGGATTGCCTATAGACACAGACTTTGTATGGGCAAGTATAATGAAATATGAGACTCATTTATACAAAATATAGTAGGTTAAAAAAATACATGTATTAGAAATATATACGAACTTGAATAATATTTGCTTTAGATAAGTATATATAAAATTATACCTGTTTACTGTTATAATGACATATACTATTTTTTTTGGCGTACTTCTTTCACTTTTTTGTAAAGTACTTTTTACTGTATGTTTTGTTCTTTTCTCTGACAATGTATGTATCTCCACCATTATTATCACTGTGTTTCTCTTTTTTTCTTATTCTTTTGTTATTAATTAAATAAATTTAAAAAAGGACTGCAAGAGGTGATTATTATTGGTCCAAAGTCTATAGTGTCACTGTGGAAAATGCTTTAATTTACTACAAATTTAATGTTCTTTATTTCCTTTTACTTAGATTTTATAATATAAATTAGAACTCTTACAACACTTTAAAAAAAATCTAAGAAACCTAAAAAAACCCTCATACTCTTAATTCTGAGACAATGCTATTACACTTTTGTATGAAAAACAAAGTTAAAACATCACCCTACTTTTAAAATATATATTAAATATTACTGAATAAGAACATGATATGCATCTTATCCTAAGGTACACTTGACTAAATTTGACAAAAAATGTATACATTTTCAAAATGTATTTTGAAAATTTTCATAATTTCAAAATACAAACTATCTTATATAAAATGTAGTATAAACAAACCAATTTATTATTTATTTAATTTGTCAATTAGTTCAAAGAATATCATTTCAGTGTTCTCATATATGAATATTGTAGAAATCTTTCTCCAGATCGTACTCTAGTAATATGAAGTGATCAAGCAGTATTGATCCAAAACTGATTTGTGTCTTGGGTGCTAGCCTTCTAATCAAAAGTGATGACCACCCCATGCCTCCTTGCTCCAAGCCAAAAGAGATGATAGAAGTTTGCCAACAGTCTTGATTTCCTATTAAAAATACCTAAGGCCCAGGGAAGAACACATGTCTCAAACTGCAGTATATGTTTCCAATGAACCACATCATTTTCTCCATCTCCAACAAACAGGAACATACAAATGGGAACTTAGCACAAAGGGAATTCTTAACTTCCAAAGGCAAATATTCTATGTACAGAGATGATACAATA